GGACCATGACAAGGAAAGAAGAGGGGACTCTGATGAGGAAACGGGGGGGACAGTACTGATCACTCGGTGTTTGCTCAGTACAAATTTAACAATCCTGAAGCTCGCCCCCTCCCGTCAGAGCTTTCCGCCCTGACCTGTGCCAGCTTCTTCAACCCCGCTGGGTGTCCCCACTGCTCCCTGCCGACACAGGTGGGGGATAGCAGGTTGGATCAGAGGAAACTCAGACCACAGCTTGCAGCCAGTGCCCAGCGAGGAGAAGAGACACTAGGGATTTGACGCATTTTCGGCCATTTGTGCACTATTGGCATTTTGCCCACAGTATCATTTTCGGCAGCTAAAATTTTGGTGCATCCCTAATTTTCATCATATGCTTGGTTTGAGCTTTCCAGGTCTGCAACAAGTTCCGGGGTATAAGACCCCATTCAGGCTCCTGGTGAGGATCTAGGGATACTAAACGTTGCATGCACTGCGTTGTGTGAACAGTCATGGGAGCCGTCAGATTTGTACTCAATGGTTGGTGCCGCTGCTGTCCACAAATACCGCGTTTCCCCGAAAATAAGACACTGTCTTATATTTTTTTTTTCAACGAAAAAAGACACTAGACACTTATTTTCGGGGGATGTCTTATATTTACCTGGCTGCAGCTGCCCGCTCTCCACACTGATGCCGTCCACTTCGACCCCACTGGCTATGCCTTGCTGTGCCTGCTGGGAAATGTAGTCTTCAGCGGCAGCCGAGGCAGACAGGTAGGTGGGTGTGCATGGGTGCGTGCGTGAGGGAGCTGCGGCCGGTCTTCACATGTAAAATTCAATTATATGTGCAGCTACCCCGAAAGTAAGACCTAGCGCTATCTTCAGGTAAATCTGTAATATAAGACCTACCCCGAACTAGGTCTTATTTTCGGGGTAGGTCTTGTATTACAGAAATCCCTGAAGATAGCGCTAGGTCTTACTTTCGGGGAAACACGGTAACCATTTATCTGAATCCGCTTGTGGCAATACAGCCTCTGACCATCACCGAGCACAGACGTGCTGCATCTAGGGATGCCGATTCTGCAGCTGGTGGTCCCAGCTAATCGGCCAGTTTGCATGAAGCCATAGCACTGAATGCAACCAGCTCTGAACGCAGCAAACGATCAATCCCAGATCACCCATCTGAATGAGGCCCAACACCCCCTCATGTTACCTTCAGTAATTACAATGCCTCTATATTCAGCTTCATATAACTATTTTATTCCCTTTAAA